AATTGTAACTTTTAAAAGTTAACCTTTAAAAATACGTGTATACAGATGATTATAGATCTGGCTCCTCATACAAAAATCACAAAAACAAATGATAACAAAAATTCCTTGAAACAGATGGAGAGGCCACCATTACAGAAAACCAACAAATCAAAATACAGAGAACAAGTGGCCCTGTGGAGCACAGCCCTAACTGATCCATCTACAGAAGGACTCCTGCACCTCAGGGATCATAGTGGAAGACAGGTGGCAAGATTCTAAGAGTCAGAGGAATTGAGAGTTTGCTGTGAGATTTTTTTTTTTTCTCCTTGAAATGTCAGAAAAGTGACACCAGTGAATTCTCACCAACATGGCTGCCTAAACACAACCGGAACAAGGATGACACCAATTACATGCTAACATGGAAAGGGACAATCTCATGGGGCCTCAACTCTAGACAAGAAACTGCAGGCAACTCAGGGATGCTGAGAGTGGGAGAAATAGCCTTCCCAGGGAGGAGCACACCGATTGGTTGTCAAATATATACAAGTAACATTACATGGATTGATCAGGTTTCATTGATGTATTTAGGAATTTATATATCTATATATATAATAACAAAGAAATAGAGGCCAGGTGTGGGGGGAGGGAGAGAGAGAGAGCTAAGCCAGGAAGGAGGTGCATGGAAAAGGTTAGAGGAAGGAAAGGAAATGGGAAAAATAATGTAATTATATTTTAATTTAATAATTTTTGAAAAATTTTTCATACAATATATTCTGATTAGTTCTGCTCCCCTAGTTCCTGCTAGATCCTTCCTGCCTACTAAACTCCACACTCTTTCTTTAAAATTAAACAAGCAAGGAAACCAAAAAACCCAACAAAATAAAAACAAGAAACACACACAAACCCACATCCCTACAGGCACAAACTCACAAAAATGGAAGACAAAATATATAAACAAAGAACAATAATTCCAAAGATGCCCCAACAAAGCAATGAGACAAAAATTCTACAAAAATACTATTGAATTTCTTTTGTTACCCTGAAGTATGGCTAATATACTCAGTGGAGCTTTTTTGGAGAAGAGTGATTTTTTTTTTTTTCTTTGCAAGTGGGTTTCAGTTGCAGATAGCTTCTTAGTTGGAGTGAGAGTGTATGTCCACTTTCCCCTCACAATGCTGTGAACCTTTCTGGCTTGAACAGCTTCAGGCAACGTTCATGCTGCCTTAGTCTCTGTGAATTTGTTTGTGCATAAGTCCTTTTGCATTTGGAGGACAGTTTACTTTGGAGTCATCTATTACCTCTGGCTCTTACACTCTTTCCATGTCCTCTCCAGAATTGATTCCTCAGCACAAAGGGGAGGCTTTGATGAAGACATCCATCCCATTCATCACAGTGTTCCAGGGTCTCTCATTCTCACTATATTGTCCATTTGTCCATCTCTGTTTTAGTTTCCAACTACTGCAAGACAGGGCTTCTCTGATGATGGCTGAGTGAAGCACTAAACTATAGGTCTAGCAGAATGGTTTTAGGAGTCATTTTATTGCTATGTTCCTTTAGCAGAACAGTAGTATTTGATTTGGCCTATTTGGTCTAAGGTTCTTGGTCAGTCATGGCTTCCATCTCATGGAATGGGCCTTAAATCTACTTTCTGCTATACTTGAAACTGATAATCCAGTTTGCCTTTCTGAATTCCATATTTTTAGATACCTAATTACTTGCTTGAGATTTTGTTTCCATGTATTGTGCCGCTCTTCTCAGTACCATTGTTCCCAGCTTCTGCAGCAGTGAAATCTGTATTTGAGGTCTACATTAAGTATATGCACTGTATGGAGCTTTGCTGTTGAAATCACATATAGGTGGTTCAAACATATCTGCCAACAGGAACATCAGCTTTAGTTCTTTTTGTTTTAATAAGTATTAGTTGCAAATTTTTATTTCAAACAATTTGGCTATCATCTCCTCTAGAAAGTTTTTCTTGATCCAAATACTAGCTTTAAAATGTATGTGTAAAAAACCACTTAATGCTCAGCATCATAATTGTCTGCATAAATCATGCAGCCCTGCTGGAGTGTTATAGCCTATTGTCTTTTAAATAAGTCCAGAGAGTGTAGTGGGGATTTGCGGAGTGGACAGGTGAATGGAGTAGCCAAAACAGAATATCAGATTTTCTTAGCTGTTTTAAAAATTAAACTAATGGATTCTCAAGATTCAAAGGATTTTAGTGCAACCATAATGGATACTAAAAGATTATCTATTTTTATCAGTAAACATTAATAGGGGAAAAGATTGTTTATCTCACTTTTTTTGGGGGGGGGGAGCTTTTCCTAACTTGTAAGGTAGCCGCTAAGAAAATGTGGAGAGATTGGTAGTTCCTTATACATAATTAAGCAGCTCATTCTTGCAGATACTTCAATAATTCATATTTGAAATATACTTTTTTTTCAATAAAATTGGCTTTTAGATACCTCCATCCAAGAGGTTGTAGCTGTACGATTTCATTTCTGAGATTATAAGGGATTTCCATGCTTTGTATATAAACTAAATACTGTGTCAAAGAGAAAGTTAAAACTGTCGTTTATGAATTGAGGCTCTCTTGTTGTAGGAAGTAGTATTTGAAAACTCCATTTGGAGAAACAGTAGATAGAGGACAGTAAGAGGAAGGAAGGAAGGAAGGAAGGAAGGAAGGAAGGAAGGAAGGAAGGAAGGCAGGAAGGAAAAGAAAAGAGAGAGGAAGAAAGGAGAGAAAACAGTGTATGTGGGATATTCCCTACCTCCATTTTTCTGCTCTGTTTCCTCAATCTTTATTCTTAATCTGTTGCTTCTTGGAATGGTAAATACTACTAAGCAAGACTAAGTGGATGATAAGACAGTAGTAGCCTTGTCAGTGGAAGTTGGGAGGAGGTTTTCAGTTTGGTCATTGGAGTCTTCCTACTTATCTGTGAACATGACTAACCCTGGACAGGAACATGCAGGGCACCTTACAGATTTTGTGCCCTTGCTCTTTAACATTATGAACCTCCTAAGCTCCTGAAGCGTCCTAACATTATGACCCTCTAATACAGCTCCTCATGTTGTGGTGACCCCAACCATAAAATATTTTTTGTTTTTACTTCGTAACTGTAGTTTTGCTACTCTTATGAATTATAGTAATGTAGATAAATGATATGTAGATGGTCTCAGGCAACCCCTGAGAAAGGGTCATTCAATACCCACCTTCAAAAAAAGGGATTGGGACCCAGAGGTTGAGAATTGCTGATTTTATACTAGCTGTTCATCTTAGTGTATTGTTCTGAAGAGGAACTCCACCATATTCTTTTAAATGGGCAGGAGGGTTAGAGGATGTAGGCTATTGAAAAAAGTCTGAGAACCAAGTTTATCTGTGGAGCTCACATGATGGCGGGAGGGAGCTCATTTCCACATGTGCACCATGGTACCTGCCTGTACACATACACACAAATACATAGATAAGTAAATAAATAAGATTTTTGAGGAAAGGGTTTTGAATTTTTTTAATGTGGAATGTATTAAATCAGGGGGGCCTCTTGACTATTATGACAAAATTCTAAGGTTAAAATTAGTATTACATCTAAAACTAAGGCTTTTATAATAAATAGCAGACCCAAGATGTTTCAGCAGTACCAAGTTGTCAAATGGATGCAAAGAGGAAGAGGCAGCAGGGTGGCAGCATTATTCAGTGGATAAAGGCGCTTGCTGCCACCCTGCTGCCTCTTGATACCTGGAACCCACATAATGGAAGGAGATGTGTCTCCTGAAATTTGTCTTCTGACTCCCCCACACATGCAGAAGCACATGAACGCATACATGTACACATAACACACACCCCTACACACACACACCCCTACACACACACACCCCCACACACACACACACACACACACACACACACCCACACACACACACACACACACACCCCTAATGTTTTTCCTGGTAAATACTTACTTTTAAGTTATGCTCTTCTGTCAAATAGTTTCTGTGTTTTTATGACTTAAGTACATAGCATCATATTTTAGAAGGTAAAAATTCATTTACTGCTAGGCATGGGGTACACACCTTTGAAGCCAGCACTCAGGATGCAAGAAGCAGGTGAATGTCTTTAAGTTCAAAGCCAGCCTGGTCTACAAAGTGAGTTCCAGTTCAGCCAGGGCTGTTACACCTCTCTTTAAAAAAAAAAAAAAATCATTTAATAAATAGTGTTTGTGGGCCATTTGTTGAACATAGGGTTGGCTTTTAGCCAGATGCTTTGCGTGGACCCTCATCTCATCCAAGGCTCGAACATTTATTGGTGCTCACAACCCAGTTCAAATCTTTTAAATCTTAACATTTTATAGTACCTATCTTAATTTAGAGAATAGCAGCCAAGTTTTTATTTTGAAACTGGTATTTTTAATACCTTAAATTTCAACATGTTGCTAATAAAGAATAAGCAGGATATGTTTATCAGTGCCAATCACATAGTAATTTCTCAATAAAAGCTTATTGGTTTAAAACTTGCTGTTACAGTTTATGTTTAGTATGAAATTTACATTGAAATTTTATAGGTGTGTATTTTATTTCTAATGACACTGTAAGTTTAGATAGGACACTAATGTCTGTCTTACTGGGGTAATTTCAGTAAGAAAATGACAAGTTTTAATGCTATCTCGTTCCTGCTTGGTAGTTATAGACAGTAGTGGAGAGTCATAGCTTAAGTTTGTCTCTGATCTTTCTAGTTGTATCCATATTTTAATTTATTGGACCCTTATTTGTATACTGTGCACTAGAGATATCACAGGAATCTCTGTCTTTGTTGAGCTTATAACTGTCCAGTTTGTTTCCTGTATTTGGACTACAGGTTTCATAACAATTTTAGAAATCTTATGAGCTTTAAAGTGAAAAATATTAAGCTTGGCATTAGTAGAGGGTTTCTTATATGATAAAGTTTTTATCTTATTGCAATTACATTATTTTATAATTTGATATGTTAAAGCAATCTGAATCTAATCAGGACTTTCCTTAAATAGCAAATCACGGATGTTCATATGGTTAGTGATAGTGATGGAGATGACTTTGAAGATGCTTCAGAATTTGGAGTGGATGATGGAGAAGTATTTGGCATGGCATCCTCTGCCCTGAGAAAATCTCCAATGAGTGAGTATTTGTAACTCTTTGGGACCAGCATTACAGTTTCCCTTCTAGTATTAAACTTAGAAGGAAAGGGACTTTTTAAAAAATCCCTTCTTGACCTTTAAGTTTAGAGGGATAAAACATAAGAGGTGGACATGCTTCATTAGAACGCGAGTCTTGAATTTTGGTATTACTACAGCACCAAAGTACTACTAAAAATGACCAGAAGTATTGTGTAGTGTAACATTTCAGTGTATGATTAGTTCCAATTCTGTTTTTCTCTTAGATTTTGATTGACAAACTGCTGTACTTTCTGTTGCTAGTCCTTGTTTCCCACTTGTCAGCAATGTCAGTGTGAAGAACAATAATAATATTACCTTTTTATTATTGTTGGTATCCATTTTTAAGAAGGAAAAAAGTAGAATGTATGTGCCATCTTTCTCATTTTCACTTATGAGATGTATGATAGAGAATAATAAAGGGTGCTATGTGCAAAATGACTTCGAAAATAAATTCTTAAGTGGGGCTATTAACTCTGTAAAATTGTGGGGCTCCTTTTGACAGAAATTGATATGATGTCAATATAAAGTTGGCAATATTCCAACTAGTGAATTCTTTAAAGCTCTTTCAAATATTTCTGTAATTTAATCACAAGATATCTATTTCAAGAAAACATCAAAATCCTAATTGATGCTGACACGTAATTTAGGTGCTTAACAGGATTGTATCTATTCATTGGGAGTTTTTGAAGATTCTTTTTATTCTGCTTAATGAAATCTTCTAATGTGCGTAAAAATATCCCAACAAATATATCACAGAAGCTAAACTTAATTTTATTTCCTCTTTATTGATTAAATATATTTCTTATATGTGGGATTAGATGTTATGTGGTTTGTTTTTTGTGTCTATTTGTTTTGTTTTTTTTTGTTTTTGTTTTTTCTTTTGTTTGTTTTTTAGTGCCAGAAAACGCAGAAAATGAAGGAGATGCCTTATTACAATTTACAGCAGAGTTTTCCTCAAGGTAGGGTTAGGATATTAACTATAAAATTGATGTTCTCTTATAGTACTGTGATTTTTTTGGTGCAATTTTAATTATAAATTGTTTGAAATTTTTCCTTAGAGTAGCAAAGGATTTATTTATCAATCATACAGTATTAATAGAGAAAAATATACGTCTCAGATGATATAACTAATAAACTATTTGTGGCAATGCAGAAATGTATTCAGTTTAATAGATGAATCACTCCTATACGGTCTTATGTTCCTCAAAGGAGTAGGATATATCATACTAGCTTTTGGTATATCCTAGGAATGACAAAAATAGTTTACACACCACTAAGTTAAAAAATAATTTAAAGTTTAAAATGTAAGTGAATTTTTCTTTTAACTTTTGTTTTTAGATTATGTAGCATTTTTTCTGACTTTTTAATATGTTCTTTATATATTTCGAGTCTACTGAGGTGTTTAACGAGACTTATTTATTTTTCAATTTGATGTAAATTATATTCCTCTTTTAGTGTTATTTTTCTGGCAGTACTATAGAATCAGTTTTCCTTTTCTATGGTAGAATTCCTAAGTAAATGAGCTAAAATGAGAAAAAATTAATGTAACTCCAAAATCTGATGAAATTAAGTAACCTAGAAGTACTTCTTATAATATAATTTCATAATACTCATTAAATCTATTTGCTTATTGTTAAAAATTCCAGTGTTCTAATATATTAGTACAGACCAAGAAGAATTTTTAAAATTTTTAAATCTCATCCAGGCATTAAATGAAGTGATTTGATGTTTGGTTTGTACTAGATATTAGCCGCAACATTTGCTTACCAATCATTGATTCAAATTGTGAGACTTTGGTATGAATTTCAAACATTTCTTTACTAATATACATAATTTTTCCTATAGATATGGTGACTGCCATCCTGTATTTTTTATTGGTTCATTAGAAGCTGCTTTCCAAGAGGCCTTCTATGTGAAAGCCCGAGACGTAAGTCTAGTCTCACAGATTCTGATTAAGATTGTACCGTATTGGTTTACCACTTGGTGTGAGACAATGTTTAACATTTCTTACAGTGTTGAGATTGAATTCTTGATTTTGTTTCCATTCATCTACCAACCTTTACCAAGATGCCCATTTCCCTTGGTGTGTTATATTACGTCACCTGGGGCATAGGGGGTTGTTGGACATGTTTACAAGGAACCATACTATATGTTTATGTTGTTGTCAGTCATATGGATGAAAATTTTGTTATAGAAATTTGTCCTCAGTCCTTTCCCAAAGTGCTTATTCCTTTGTAGCACAAGTAATAAAAACCCAGAGACAGATATTGGGGTTCAAGCCTAAGATCAGAAAAGCAAAACAGCTAACTACGAGAGAGTTCTTTCTCCTTTCAAGGTAGGGTGATCTTGTCCTGAGTGTGTCTGCAGTCTGAACGCACTGCACTCCTGTCTCCGCCTGCCTTATGTTCTTCTCTAGTGCTGGGAGTAAAGGTGTGTGCCACTGTTGTCTGGCCTCTGTGACTGACTAGTGTCAGTCAAAGACTGGCTAGCTTTGTGCTCTGATCTTCAGGCAAGCTTTATTTATTAGATCAAAATCAAAATATCACCACATTCCTTTTAAGTAGTTCCAGTTTTACCTGTGAAAACTGTATTCTAGCCTCTCTGGGTGCATGACTAAAATCTTGTAGCACCAAATATAAGGTTCAACATCCCTAACCTAAACAGTCATAATCTAGATTGCTCCAAAGTACAAAACTGTTTCTACCACATGATCCCCAAATCTGTGAATTTCCAATATTTGAATTAGGGACATTCAAACAATAAAGACTATGCAAATATTCCAAAATCTGAAAGAACTAACAGTATGCTGCCATACTTCTATCTCAATCACTTTGCATAATAGCTTCTTATACATTCAGTTCTATGATGAGGTGGCAGGTTTTTTTGTGGGGCAGGAAGGTGCTGTTCTTGTTTTCTTTGGAGTTTTGTGATTTGAGAGTTTGAGGGTTTTTTGTTTGTTTTTGCTATCCTGTGAATTGAGCCTACTTCCTGTATGCTAAGCAAGAGTTCTAAGACTAAGAGGTGTAGCCCCAGCAGTAACCATCCCTTTAACTTTTAAATTGAAGAAAGGGTCTGACTGAATTGCCAAATTGCTCTCAACTTACTTTTGTGGCCCAGGCTGGCATTAAATCAGTTTCATCAACCCCCATTTAATTCTAATTTATAAATGAATCAGGGATAGTAAGAGATTGAGAGAACTAATTAGGAATTGGAGAGGTAGCTCCACAGGTAATATATGCTGCTCTTGCAGAAGAGTAGAGTTTGGTTCCCAGCACCCAGAGTTGATTGATGCCTTCCAGCTAACGACAAAATAAAGCAATTACAGCAATATTCTGCAATAAAAGTTAGGTTAATGTATGTTTTTCTCTCTAAAATATTTTTATGTATTTAACTTTTCACTTAGAGAATACACTTTACAGCACATTTGTACAAGTAGCATCACTTTTGCGCTTTAGGGATCAGTATGAAATAAGATATGGGTTTCGTGAAGACAAGCACTGCATTACAGTGACAGTCTCGCCTCTAACCAAGATAAGTGCTAAATTACCAGTGGGTGGGCACTGTATTCGATGGTATCTACATGCATACTCTTGACAAAGAGATGATCCAGAGGGCCCCTTCTCTGCCCTCCAGTCACAAGGATTCCAGGCTGTTTAAGTGCCCAGCATTTTCACTGGGTTCCAGGGATCAAATTCATATTTGCACAGCCATCTCCCTAGCCTCAATCAGTTCATTCTTATAATGAATTTTTATTTTAATTATTCAGATTAAAAATAGAAAATATTACCTGGAGTAGAAAATAATTAAAATTGCATTATTTAGAACTAAGGATGTAACTTTGATAGAGTATGTGTTCAGCATACATAAGGTCTTAATTTTGATCTTCAGCCCATATACATACAAGACATTATTTTTAATCAACAAAAACTTAAAATTTCATGCATACTTTTAATGTTTATTAGCAACTATGCAATGGGACACTTTCCCATCTGTCTTGGTCCCACTAGACTGGTTTTTCTTCACCCACTGGGCCCCAAGAGCAACTTATGAAATAACCACTCAGAGACTTAATATATATTTATAATTGTTTGGCCATTGGCCTAGGCTTCTTACTGGCTAGCTCTCTTTTAATTATTAACCCATTACTGTTAATCTGTGTATCACCATGTGACATTGGCTTACTGGTGATGCCTGAGCCTCTTTAAACCTCTCCACCCCTACCCTCCAAGGATATATATATATATATATCTTCTATCTTTTTGTGTTCCTTTTCCCTGCCTCTTTGTTCAGAATTCCTGCCCATTGAAATTCTGCCTCTCCATTGGCCAAAATAGCTTTATTCATCAACCAGTAAGACAAACACATAGTCACACCATACACAGTACTTCCCCTTCACAACTTTGTTGTTTAAAATTTTAAACTACACAGAAATGTTTAGGGTATCTTACATATTTTGTTAGGTTTTGATGAAATCATTTGAAGCCAGATTATTACCCCTAAAAACAGAAGCAAGCATTTTGCAAAACAGTGAGATTCTCCTATTTAACCACAATATGGTTGTCACTTAAAATAAGACTGATAATAACTCCAAAATTTCAGTTCCCTAGTAAGTTTAGATACTTTCTCAATTTCATTTCAAAAGTTTCTATGTATACATCACATACTACAGCTTTAAATGCAGATGCTTAAATATGGTGTTTATTGCCAACAAAAGAACTCTTATTAAATTGTCATGTAGATTTGTTGAGACTGATAATCTCCAGAGAAATATAAGCTCTTGTTTATTAACTCCTGGATATTTCTAATGAAACAATTGATCATTTGCTTTTATTAGTGTCTAGGTGTTTTAGCAGTGGCAAATCACTGAAACATAATTACATATTTTGCTTTATTAGAGTCATATCAAAATTTACTCACCTCTCTGGACTGCCAAATTGTCTTTATCCTTTCCTTCTTATTCAACCAGGCCTTTTTCTTTGTTCACTTCCCTTTTCTTTTTCTTTTTCTTTTTCTTTTTCTTTTTCTTTTTCTTTTTCTTTTCCTTTTCCTTTTCCTTTTTCTTTTCTTTTTTGTTTTGTTTTGTTTTTGTTTTTGTTTTGTTTGTTTGTTTGTTTGTTTTTCGAGACAGGGGTTCTCTGTGTAGCTTGGGAGCCTGTCCTCCTGGCACTCACTCTGGAGTCACTTCCCATTTCTAATTTATACTTAATGTATAGTTTATTATATTTCTCTGAACTCAAGAAAAACCACATAGTGGATAAATTATTCAAAATTAATCTTAAGTCAGTCCACATTCTCAGTCATCAAATAAGCTTTATTTCACTATTTTTGGGGGTGGCAGGAATGAAGCCTAGACTTGTTTTGAGCTTCCAGAGTTCCTGCCTCCACCTTCCAAGTGCTAAGAGTTTAGGCATAAGCCGGCATGTTCAACTTTATTTGTTGAGTATACTATAGGAATAGTAATACTGCTTCATATTTCTATGATTATGTGGCTTATAAATCATTTTCCTGAGATGGGAACATTTAGTATTTATATTCCCATTTTAAAGAGGAGGAAACTCAGAAAAAAATGGTTGACTTTTCCAGAGCTACATCAGTAGTAAATAGTGGAAGCCAATTGAGAGTTAATGCGTTCCAACACAAGCGTGTAGGGTTTGTGCAGACGTCTCTGCTGTCTACTGCATTGTAGGACTCAGTTATGAAAGTCCATCTCTGTCTTTCAGATTTCACATCTCCACATTAGGACAAATCATTTATTTTAATTTCTCAATTATTTTTAAGAAAACAATTTGCTAACGTTCCAACATTTTGAAGCAAGTGTGAGTGTTAGTTACTGTGGCACTTTGCCTAAATTTCTTTTATCTTAAATATCATGTTTAATTTAAACTTTAGAAGGCACATTAATTTTACCAGGGCAACAGATGAGCTTCAAGCACCAGCTTTCTTCACTTGAATTGAGAAATTGAGTTCCAAGAGTAAATAAAAACAAGATTGAAGGTTTAAATCCTCTACTAGGCTTTTTGAACTTATATACTCATTAAATGTTTATTGGAGTGGTGGGATTACAAAGGATTTAGGGAGCTTCATCAACTGGTATATAGTTAATCACTAAGTAAAACACTACATTTGATAAAGTGTTTCTCACGATGCCACATTCAATCCATCTTAATGAAAACTGCTTCCAGCTGATTTCATTTGAGAGCACTTGTTGGTGAGAGTGTTCACGGTTCTTCTGACTGTTCCTGAGGACTTTAATACTGGCTAAATAAAGCAGATTCAGTTTATTATGGATTCTTGTATTTCTTCTGACTTCAGCCTTCATCAGTTTTATAACCTTCCTTGCTTTTAACTATGAAGGATGGTCATTCAGTTAAGAGTTATAAATATTTATCACATGTCTACTTAGTGTTTGGTATATAGAGATTTCCTTCCTTTGACAATTCAGTTTAGCCAGTAAGGTAAGACAATACAAACAGACCCATATTGTACAATATGACTTAGAAGAAACAAGAACAGTTACCTTGTCTACAGATAAGGGGTTGCAGGGAATATTTTTAGAGGTGATATCTCTAATCTGAATTTTAAGAGTTAGTGAGATGGGAATATCACACTGTAACCTAGGCAGGTCTCACAGCTTGCAGCCTTGTGGCAGTACACCCAGCTCTGACTAGAATCTTAGAATAAAGAATACGTGGGGAAATAACAGTATTCCAGAAAGTTATGCCAGTCGGGCAGTGGTAGCACACGCCTTTAATCCCAGCACTTTAGAGGCAGAGCCATGTTGATATCTGTAAGTTCCAGAACAGCCTGGTCTACAGAGTGTCTTCCATGACAGCCAGGGCTACACAGAGAAACCCTGTCTTGAAAAAAAAAGAAAACAACAACAACAAAAAGTTGTGCCAATAAAATATTAAAATGAGAAAACTATAA